GATTTTGCAAAAATCGCCCACCAAACCCACCGAAATATCGTTGGTATCGCCTTCGCCCACGGTACGCGCGCCGCCTACGATCCACACCACCTTTTGTTGCCCCCACAGGAGAGCGCAACCCTCAGCGGACAGCGTGCCGTGCCATTAAGGACAAGCAGGGGTACCTCAGCTTCTGGTACGATAATATTAGCTATGCGCTGCAATCAAATTACACAGCCTACAGCGAGCTGCAGAAGGGAGGGAATAAGCACTGGTAATGCATGGTGCACATCGCTCTCGAGTCCGCTTGGAGGCGGTCAACCGGACCAGGGTTCGATTTCCCACAAGCGAATGTGTCCTTCTCATGGATTTTGTCTCCCAACTGGATTTCCTGGTCTCTCGCCAGCTACCAGGTTCACTGTTTTGAAAACTGCCAGTACCAGGTAGGTACGTATGATGTCACAAAATTTAATCCCTGTCGGCGCTCAGGGAACGGAATTTTTCAGCACTGACCACGTTGCGCAGTGGTCTCACTCCTGGACGGCAAAAAAAAAGCTCAACACCCCGTGCGTGGACATCGTCACTCATTATTTTTTGAGCCGCATTCTCGATTCGGCACATCCGATATTTCTCACTTTAACCTCTCTCCAAAACTGTCAATTAGGCGTGCGGAACCTGTGTAATAACCATACTCAAGTTGGGTGGAGAGGAAATAATATATATCGAATAGAGGGACTCAACTTGAAGAAATCCACCGACTGTATCCGTAATGGTATTGAACATTGTGTGAATTGCACAATGGGCCACAGTGTGACTTACAGCTGTATAAATCAGAGTCAAGAAGGATGGGACAAAATGCTCATTAGGTCCAGAGGTCGATTCGACTTGAAGAAATCAACCGACTGAAAAATGGAATTGATCATTGTGCGAATCGTACAAGCACATTGTGATCCAGAGCTGTATAAATCAGGGCCAGGAAGGATGGATATAAGCACTGGTGCACGTCGCCATTGAATGTTAGAGAGATCCGACTCATTTCAGGCGGATCGGGGTTTGATTCCCAACCGGTGCGTGATTCAGAGGGAGTGATCATTTTACAATGGTCAATGTTTTTTTTCGTTCATTTTATAATGACTGAGAATATTCCTGACTTCATTCAACAACATGATGTCGTCCAGCGATCCTGTATCACGTCGTGATGCATAAATCGTACCACCTCCAACGTTGCAATTTTGGCACTGCCAGATTTATGTTTCCCTTAAGCTAGAGTTTTCTTTTCAGCCCATTGTAATGGTGGACTGTGAAATTCAGGGCGCGGTTAAGAAGAGATGGAATGAGCACTGGTAGGGCATTGAGACGGCTGAAATAAAAACAAGCTTACAATTATGCTAATTCAGTCTAAACTGATCATCTCACTGCTCAGTGGTATACAATTAGGGCCAGAGTGAGCTCCGAGCTACTGGCTGAGTCTCAGAGATGCGATGGAGTACAAACGATGAGCCATACGGTGATTATATACGATACTTTAAACAATGTGAGGTCAATATAGTGTCCCAAGAGCTTGTCGCGAGAACTCGTCTGATAGTGGCCACAACTCATATGTGAGGGCAGTGAGACGGCTGAAATGAAAACACGCTTACAATTTGGCGAAACTCAGTCTAAACCGATCATCTTACCGCTCGGTGGTACACAATTAGAGTCAGAGTAAGCTCCGAGCTGCTGATTGAGTCTCAAAGATGTGATGGAATACAAATGATTGACCATACTGCGACTGTATACGATGCTCTAAACAATGTGGGGTCAGTACAGTGTTCAGCGAGTTAGTCATGAGTAGTCGTCTGATAGTGGCCATAACTCATATGTGAGGGCGGTATCACGCAGGATCACTAGAAACCATACCAAGGAGATTGTATGAATATCCATATTTATTTAAACACTGCTACACAAAGATCATAGACCTCTAGCGGGGATTTTGGGCAAATATAGTCTTGTCATGACTAAAGATAATAGTCATGACTCCAAGTCGTATGAGAAATAGTAATTCTCAGGCACAGATAAACAGTCGTGAATAATGGAAGAGTCGCGACTACCAAAACAGACCTTCGGGCGAGCTCCGAGAGTGTGATCACATGTCAGATGGTGAACCAGTTGACTAAGCGAGTCAATCCAAGGATTCCCGATGAAGTCCGAGAAGATCCGACGACTTGATCAAACATTCACATGAAAGATATGGTTGTCATGATTAGGTCGAAAGCACGCAATATGGTGTCAAGGCGGTCTAGATCGCTCCGGATCTTGCCTTGACTAAAGATAGATGATGCTGAAGGCTCTCCGGAACTTTCGGAACTAGTCTAGACTGTCAGAATTGAATCCTATAGGCCACAGGCCGCAGATCTCCGATCAAACGCGGTTGATAGACAGATAAAAGGACTATATACCTCATTTCTATTACTCATTTTTCCTTATCTGGCATGTACTAAAATAGATTGTAAACTAGTATAAAAGCGACGTAGAATAACACGATTCTGGACTGTATTTTCCTCCCAGCTACTATAGCCGTGACTATTGTCGTCATTGGTTGTGGGTCACGGGGTCAGTGCACGTCTGGGTTTTACGCGGAGATTTGTTTAAACACATTTCGAAGTTGTACTACTTTTAGCAAAGATATATATAGAACCAGAACATAGTTGTTTGATAACCAAAGTCCCAGCAAAGTAAGCTGAATAAGAAAGTCATAAGAAACAGTCAAGTCTGTACAGAAGTGGTCCTTTAAGAGTCGCGACTAAGTGTCAAGACGGAGGATAGCTGTTGATATCGTTCCTTTGAGTTCGGTTGCAGTCTAAGTACCAAAGAAGTAAAGTCTAAGACGGTCTCAAGTGACCTAAAGTTCAGTCCAAGTGTGGCTTAAGTTGTCGGAGTTGTTCAAGTACACTCGCGACTGTGTTTCATTCCATCCAAACACCCCAAAGATAGTGTTTCTCTTGTGAGAGACTTTAGTCAAGGTTCTTGAGTGATACTCGCGAATATTCCCAAGGGCATAATTAGATCTATAGTCATTTATTGCAACTGTCTACGGTTCATCTTACTCAATTCTGATTGAGAGGACCCTAGTTATAGAAGCACCAATATAGTCAAGTAGTAGTAGTGTGTGTGTGTGTTGGGTGTAGTTCATTTTGTGTGCGTCTTGCACATATCTTGAGATTATACTTTTCACGACTATACTTGGGTGCACCGTTTCAGCGGTATCACGCAGGATTGCTAGAGTCCATACCACGGAGAGTGTATGAATATCCATATTTATTTAAACACTGCTACACGAAGACAAACCTCAATGGTGGGGATTTGTGCCCAAAAGGTCCTTGTCGCGACAATAGTTACAGTCGCGACAACGATATCTAGTCGCGACAAGACAGTTGCGACAAGAAGAACTTCTCAGGAATATGCCGAGACAAGTCACGATAGTCGGAATGACTCGCGACTACATCCCGTCGATCTCCGAGACTGATCACAGCCATGTGCACAGACAAGTGACTCAAAAGTCAATCCCGGAAATGTCTGCTGACTCCGATGTCACCTGAAACTCCGATTGATCGGAATAGTCAGTCACATGCGATGTCGCGATAAGGTGTCATTGTGTTGTGATAGGTCCAAAATGCTCTAGACCTCTCATGACTAAGGCTAAAACAGTAATAAGGCTCACACCGAAGAGACGTGGCTGCTACGGCATGTTGCAAATGGGTTTAAAGTCCTTAAAATAGAATGCCGGCCGTTTTCGTGGCCTTGTACATAATTCCTATTATTCAATTTCCTTATATAGCATGTACTAAAATGGACTGTAAAGTAGTATAAAAGCAGAGTAGTTTTAACACGTTCTGGACTGCATTTCCCTCATAGTTATTATTGCCGTGACTATTTTTGGTCACAGTAGTGATTTCTTACAAGTTTAGTGCACGTCTGGAGTTCTATTTATACACGGAGATTTGTTTTATACATTTCAAAGTTTGTACTTAGCCCCAACTCAGTTAGATAGTCAATACACGTTGTGATTGATAACCCAAAGTCATAAGCTTAAGTGCTGAACCAGAAAGTCTCTCGTGAGGAGCATCTCGCAATAAGTTGTAATCCAGTTTGAAGTCGCGACAATGTGTCAAAGCTTTAAATCAAAGGTACTACTAGAATTGTAGTCACTGTTGGAATCGTTCCAGTGAGTTCGGTCGCAGTCCCACGTCTAAAGGTACTATTGGAATCAGTCCAGTGAGGCTGATCATAGTCACTGTTGGAATTGTTCCCGTGAGTTCGGTCGCAGTCCCACGTTACAAGAGAGTCCCGTGAGACCTCTAAGTTCAAGTCCAGTGTGGCTTCAAGTTGTTGGAATTAGCTTATGTGTGTTCGCGACTGAGTTTCGTTTCATTTCAAAACCCCCACGACTAGTGTTTCTCTCACGAGAAGCTTTAGTTGTACTCATGAGTTCTACTCGCGATAGTCTTGAGATACAGTTTGATTTATCTTCCTTCATTTGCACAATTGTCAACGGTGTATCTGCAGTCAATTCTGATTGACAGTACCAAAGTACATTAAATATTGAAGAGCACTTTGTGTAGTTTGTTTGTTGGTTGTGTGTTGGTTGTGGTTCGATTTGTGTGTCTCGTACACATCTATTGGATTGTGATTTTCACGACTATACTCAGGTGCACCATCTCAGCGTGGTGCACGCCGCCATTAAATATTGGTGGTCTATTTGTAGACTTCAGGCAGATCGGAGATCGACTCCCCGCCGGTGCATCCAGGGGTACTGCAACTTTTTAATAGTTGCTCCCACACCTACATCTTAGCGTATTTATTCCTGTCCCGGGAACCTAGATATTATGTCGACAAATTATTGAGAGAGTGTTGGGGAGGTATTGATGTGGACAAATCAGGTACTGCCTATACCGATGTTCTTAACGTCGAACTACTGTGATGGCATCGGCTAGTGGATGATTTAGAGCTGTATAAATTAGGGTCAGGAAGGATAAATATAAGCATTGGTGGTGCATGGTGCACGTTGCCATTAAACGGGAAGCTTGAAAATCAGTGTTTCAGGCACATCGGGGTTCGATTCCCTGCCGGTGCATTCGGGGGTACTATGGAACTTTTTTATAGCTATTCTCGCATCTACATCTTAGCGTATTTGTTCCTTCCGGGGAGCTACATATTATGTCGACAAATTATTGGGAAAGTGTTGTGGAGGTATTGATGTGGAAGAATCGGGCACTACCTATACCGATGTTCTTATAGTCGAACTACTGTGATGGCATCGGTCATTGATTTAGAGCTGTATAAAAGAGAGTCAAAAAGGAGAGATATAAGTATTGGTGGTGCATGGTGCACGCTGCCCTAAAGTAAGAAGTTTTCAGTTGCAGAATGTCAGGCAGACCGGGGTTCGATTCGATTCCCCACTGGTGCATGGAGTTTCTCCATCCAGAATCCTTGCTTTTTTCATACCTTGCAGCATATTTTTTCTTGCCTTGGGGACCTAGATCTTGTGTCGAGAGATTATTGTGGAATTAGATATTATATTGACAGATTATGGGAGGAGGGATTCAACTTGAATAAATTAACCGCCTGTACATCGGTATTGACCATTGTGTGATTTAGAACAGTATAAATCAGGGTCAGGAAGGATTGATGTAAGCACCGGTGGTGCACGGTGCACGCTGCCATTAAATCCAGGTGCATAATTTAGTGTCTCGGGCAGACCGGGGTTTGATTCCCTGCCGGTGCATGGGGTGGGTGTACCATTTTTTCTTCTTCTAACTGTCCTCCTGAGGTAATCCTGCAGATTCAGAGTGTCGTCTTTCTCGGTACGCTCGTATTACTGGAATATCAAAATGAAGCAAAAGTCTTGCGGAGGCAATATTGATGTTTGATGTAGAAAATTTGGGTGTGTACTGTGCAGGTAGGGCTTCGACCTGAGTTTAATCCGGCCATTGTGCAAAATAGTGTGATTTAGAGTTGTATAAATGAAGGTAAGGAAGGATCGATATAAACACTGGTGGTGCATAGTGCATGGCCCCTTAATATACTGGCTGGTCGATGACTTGTTTAAATTGGGGGAAGAGGGGGTTCGATTCCCTGTCGGTGTGTTCGACTATAATTCTTTCCTATTTTCTTTTTCAATTATGGCATTGACACTATCAGTAGATTAACGACGCACTGCTGGCATTATTTTAGTGGGTACCTGAATGATCAGATCAGTGTTCAAAGGGCTCTTTTTCTCTATCTTGTTCGCGCTTCCTCAGCACATTTTTGCTTACTACAGAGGCTCATGTCGCAAAAATCCAATTTGCCATATAGCCCAAGATAGCCCCATTCTGAACCTTATAGGCCAAGCCGGTAAGATTACAGGGGTTACAGGGGTTATAAGTACCTTATAAGTACCTATTTTTATTTATAAGCCCTGTAATCTGACCGGCTTGGCCTATAAGGTTCAGAATGGGGCTATATGGCAAATCAGATTTTTGTGACATCAGATATCGTGACGACAGAGTACTGGGGAAGTGTTGTGGGGTATTGAAGATATGGGGCACTGCCTAGCTATAGCCGATGTTGTTGATCCAACCTCAAGAACTGACCTAGTGTGATGTCATTCGCCATTTGGTTATTTAGAGCTGCATGGAGCAGCACACAGAAGGATGGGAATAAGCACCGATAGTGCATGGTGCACGCCGCTCAAAAAGTACAATGGCATCATGCTTCTACGATCAAGGCGACATGGGGTTCGAGTCCCTGCCGGTGCATACAGTGCTGACAACGCATTTTTTTTTCTGACTGTTTTCACTGGTCCTCTATGAGGGTTCGAATGCACATTTAATATGCCGCAACTTTTTTTAGTGTGCCGCAACTATTTCAGGTGATTTGATGCTTATGCCGCGAGTTTTACGCCCTTTTGGTATCTCCGAAAAAGTTGCGGCACCGTTCGTGTTGCCGCAACTTTTTTAAGCTGGCTCGGACTTGCCGCATAGATTTTTGTGGGACTATTTAAATGTCCAAAACTTGTAGATAAGGGCAGCCTGAGGCTTGATTTTAGGATGTATTGCTGAGGCTACCGGTTGTTTCAAGAATACATGATGTCTCTCCCCTTTTTCTTTCCATACCTATCTCTTAAATAATTCATACTTTACTCTACACTATTTTACTTTCCTTTTTTCTCCCTTCTACTACTGTCTCCTTGGGCATGACCGCTCAGACTACCTTACACTAATATCATAATCGGGCTTCTCCGTGTTTCTCTCTCACCTCCAACTCCACCGGAACATTCCACCTTTCACCTACATGCAAACCATCCTCATCCCTTGTTCCTCCCTACTATAATTTTCTACTCTATGTCTGATTTTCTTTTTGAGATGTCAGCTGTGTTTGGGTGACACCTACCTTAATGAGACATTTAATCTGTTTATCGAGAAGGCAGACAGCACTCGTTCTCAGAAGAACCTGAAACCCGAGTGCGAGATATAAAAGTACAAAATTGTGCACCTCATGGGAATCAAAATTTACCATAAGTAATAACGGACCCTGTGGACTAGAACCATTGACTATCCTGTCTTGTGCATTTTTTCTTCTCTCTCAATGGTGTAGAGCCAGGAAATTGATTTGCCAGTTAAGATAGGCCGCATCAATACTCATCAAGTGTGGCATCATAATGTAAATAGTCAATTCCTGGAGCACCCGGATGAAATAAAATAAAATCTCCTGACAATCTGTTCTAAAACTCATCAAGAATCAGTAGCCAGAAAATGAGAAAGTTTGAGAAGAAATTGAAAGACAAGATAGCTTTTCTGTGGTCCCATCAATATTCTGAACTTCCCATCAAATTTACCAAAAGCTATCTAGTTTACAACTCTTGCCCATATTGCACAGGAATATTCGGGCACACAGAGGAATAGTTTTAGAATAGTTTGACAGGAGATTTCATTTATTTTCATCCAGGTGATTGAGGAATTGAATATTTAAGATGTGGTGTCACCCTTGATGAGTATAAACATGGCCTATCTTAGTGTTAGAGTGCGTTGGCACTCATAGCGTTGAGTACTTTAACTCTTAAGTACACAAGTAACTTTGAACAATGTTTATTGCTGAAACATACATTGTGTAAGGTAAAAGCAAAGTTAGATCTACAATAATCGTAATCAACTGTATATATAGTGGATCGGCAATGTCCGATCCTAACAAGTCCAAATACTATCTACTTTAGGATATTAAAGTAGGCGGTTCCAACACTCGCCCGCACAAGACTGAGTTCAGTCTTCAAGAAATAAGACTTCATGATAATGTACAGTGTCAGTTGACACACTGGGTATGCTTGCTTCAATAAGCATTTACAAGAAACACAATTCTACCGTGTCTGCTGACAAGGTAATGGCTGCAGCCTATCATCAGGCATTCAAGAAATCATAGTCATTCATCGTCCAGTATATTCGCGTAAGCGCCCGCACATGAGTGGCTCCACCGATCACCCGTCCCGTGCATAACTACATGCACTCACCGGACTCAGCCGGCAGCTGGCTGTCATTGAATGGCAACGCTGGCATTGTCGGATCCCAGTCAAGTGGATTGCCTTCGTCTTTGAAGTCACTGTTGTCATCCTTCAATAGCGGGCCATTATCCACATCCATTGATGTAGATTGTTCTGGTGCCGGCAATGATGACAACATTGTTGCATTAGTGAGGTGGGCAGCAAGTGATTTCTTGCCATCTGAATTCTCCACTGATTTTCGGTAGGTCCAATAATCCTGGGAATGCGTCCATCCCCAAATGTATGGAATATAAAGACATGGAGTGTGGAACACTGCATCTACGTCCGCCGTGGCTTTCCACGGCAGATTGATAGGTCTCAAAAAGAGCGAGACATTATAAGGCGCAAGTCACTCAGGAACTCGTCCAGCCTTAGCTCGATTGAGTGCAGCTGTGACCTGTTCAGTGGGATATTCAGCGATAGGGCTGGTCACACAATCGTTGACCCACTGAAGCACGTAATGGTACATGTCGTCCATCATGATGAAGGACAGTCCCATAGCGGCAAATCATCGATATATATATTGTCAATCATAACATTATCCACATTGTCATCTGGCCACTGCTGCAGGTTGTGTGTCTGGTGTACTTGGATATTCAGGTGATTACAAGCTTCCTTGTATCCACCTGGAGTGGCCATCGCTTCTATCATCAAACCCTGAAGTTTGGATTGATGCTGACACTTTGCCTCATTGTCTTTATCCGTTTTATCCAGCTCAATGCCGGTTGCATGACAGATCTGCAATCTGCGAACCAGAGTAAGATCGAGCGAGAATCCCAGATCCTGCCACAGGCATCCCCTGAAGTATAGATTACTATACTGCATATATTTTGCAGCCTCGATGACAGAAACATCGCCTTTGGGGTGTCACTGTTATATCCATGCACTTTGTGCGACCAGCTGGACCGACTGGTACTTCCGGTGACCGGCTTGACCAGTCAACCCAGTACCCGGCCGGTGAGACAGCTGAAATGAAAACACGCTTACAATTTGGCGAAACTCAGTCTAAACCGATCATCTTACCGCTCGGTGGTACACAATTAGAGTCAGAGTAAGCTCTGAGCTGCTGATTGAGTCTCAAAGATGTGATGGAATACAAACAATTGATCATACTGCGACTGTATACGATACTCTAAACAATGTGGGGTCAGTACAGTGTTCAGCGAGTTAGTCGTGAGTAGTCGTCTGATAGTGGCCATAACTCATATGTGAGGGCGGTATCACGCAGGATCACTAGAAACCATACCAAGGAGATTGTATGAATATCCATATTTATTTAAACACTACTACACAAAGATCACAGACCTCTAGCGGGGATTTTGGGCCAATATAGTCTTGTCATGACTAAAGATAATAGTCATGACTCCAAGTCGTATGAGAAATAGTAATTCTCAGGCACAGATAAACAGTCGTGAATAATGGAAGAGTTGCGACTACTAAAACAGACCTTCGGGCGAGCTCCAAGAGTGTGATCACATGTCAGATGGTGAACCAGTTGACTAAGCGAGTCAATCCGAGGATTCCCGATGAAGTCCGAGAAGATCCGATGACTTGATCAGACATTCACATGAAAGATATGGTTGTCATGATTAGGTCGAAAGCACGCAATATGGTGTCAAGGCGGTCTAGATCGCTCCGGATCTTGCCTTGACTAAAGATAGATGACCCTGAAGGCTCTCCGGAACTTTCGGAACTAGTCTAGACTGTTGGAATTGAATCCTATAGGCCACAGGCCGCAGATCTCCGATCAAAAGCGGTTGATAGACAGATAAAAGGACCATATACCTCATTTCTATTACTCATTTTCCTTATCTGGCATGTACTAAAATAGATTGTAAATTAGTATAAAGTCTCAGTAGAATAACGCGATTCTGGACTGTATTTTCCTCCCAGCTACTATAGCCGTGACTATTGTCGTCATTGGTTGTGGGTCATGGGGTCAGTGCATGTCTGGGTTTTACGTGGAGATTTGTTTAAACACATTTCGAAGTTGTACTACTTTTAGCATAGTCTCGGAACCAGCCGTTGGGGTGACGGGCCTGACGGCCCGCCGGACCGGCGGAGTTTGAAAAACATAGTGCAGAAGAGTCACCCCAATGTCTGGTGCACTTGGTGCAGTGATGCCCCCCATCGAGTCACAGGGTGACAACTACTGATCCTTCACACGCTGCAAAAGCTCGCGAAAGCTGCTTTCAGAGCACGTTAGTGCA